GCGGGGCAGTTTCCCTACCCACCTCTGCTGCTTCCTCCTTGGAGCCCTGCCCGACCTGCTGCACTTGCCTATCTTGAGCCCAGGCGCTGCCTTTCCCTCTGGAATTAGAGGTGGCTGAAGAGCTGGAAAGTATCTGCTGGCCCAAAGGTTCAGGTGCTGCTGCAGGGTGGCTTTCCTTTCACCTCTTGCTGAGCAAGAGGCACCTACCTGGGTACAGTTGGTGCTGGAAGCCCTGGTTGAAGTGGAGGCAGCATCTTTGGGACAGGAGTGACCCCACTGCTCTAGGCCCTTGGGGATTTGGCTGAGGTCACCCCTGGGAGGAGCCAGGTAGTGAGCACAGGGTGTCCCAGGCCAACCTGCTAGCTATGGTTTCTCAGGTGATAGGTACATCCCAAGACTAGTTCAGTAGTGTTTATATACGTGGTGACAGAGCCATCCTTCCATGGCCTTCATGCCCTCTTATCCTGAATTAGGACCATTAGATTCAAATTTTAATGAAAGAATTACTGAGAGAAATAAAAAAGAAAAAGAAAAGAAAAAAGAAATCCAGTGTGAAAAAAGCAAGATATTTGCAGTCACAGAATTAGATTTAAATTTGGGTCTGGGCATTTATTGTGTGAGCTTGGGCAAGTTACTTAACCTCTCTGGTCTTTACTTTTCTCATTTGTAAAATCAAGACTTCTGCCTCATTGGGTTGGTATGTCAATCTAACAGAATGAGGCATGTAAAATGCCTAATTGTGCCTGGCTCTGCCTATCAATGTCAACTCTTTTCCCCCTGTGAGTCCCGGTAGCCTGATGCAGCTGATCCAGGGTGTCACCTGTTACCGTGGCTTTGTCCAAGCAGGGACTCCTGGAACTGAGTGGCCAGTGATCTGAAATCCCTGCAGTAGAGACAACAGCCTAGACTTGCTGCTGCCCTGCCCCAAGCATTTCATGCTGGAATTCATGGAAGCTCGTGGCCTCATCAGTGTGGGCCGTGCAAATGCCCGTTCCCCTTGGAGATGACAGCCCTGAAGCCTCAGTGGCACAGGGTGGTACTAGCAGCCAGCCTCCCCCAGTGCTTACCCTGGCCTCCCTCATTACCCAGAATGGACTATGGGAGCCTGCTCTTGAGAATGTGGCTCACGATTCAAAGGCTCAGGTTTCCTTGAGAATGTGGGGATGAAGCTGAAGAATCTCCCTGTTTCCTGCTTGCTTTGGGAAGGGCCCAAGGCCAAGAGCATGGCTTTCTTGGGAAATGCACGTGACTGAAAAGCAGAGGGTAGAATGGAGTGGTGAGGGGCTGGACAGGGCCTTTGGCCAGGAGGAACTGAGTGAGTAGGTTGTCAAGGGAGCTGAGCATACCAGGGAGCATCATGGGAACCAGAGAGCCTCTCAAGCCTCAGATTTCCAATGTAGAAGGAAGAATAATAGCCTTCAGAATCTAGGGCCTTAGGGGTTCAGGGCTCATGTATTTACCTGATGCCACTGGGCACATCTTTCCCCCAAGGCTGAGAGGCTCAAAATTGAATCACAATCTAAAGGCAGGGTGGGCAATTGTTTAGGAATAGAGGATGAAAGATCCGGGTGTCAGTGCAGAAAATTCTGAGGGTGCAATCTCCCCGGCTTGGGTATGTAACCACTGCTTCTGCCTGCCAGTGTCAGGTGGGCGGAGAAATGAAAATAATAGAAAAGCTTGGAAATGCAAAGGAAAAACCAGATAAAAAGTTATTGTATTCTCTTCCAATAATTTTCATTAAAAAAAAATGGTGGTCATGACCCATGAATTAATTTCATGGCCCATAATTGGTTACAACCCACAGGATGATAGAACATGGACACTAAAATGAGGGTTGGGGCATGGGTGAGGTATTTTCTCTCCATCCAAAATGATCTAATTTTATCCATTTTAAGTAAAACTTGCATTTACCAGAATAGTGGCAAAAATTTATGGTGCAAAATGGAATCATTAATTTATTATATGATTGATTAGTTCAAGAGGCTTCTGTGAAGCACCTCTGCTGGATTAGGCCCAGAGATAGAGGAATAAGAAAAAAATATATAATGCCTCTCTTGAGGCACATATAATCTAAGGTGGAAAGAAAGCCATTCCGAGCCATTTTCAGCATTGCGTGCTAAGTATAGAGAATGTGTAGGTAAGGAGAGATCAGGGCGAGGGCACTGAGCGCAGCTCCTGAGTTTCCTGAAAGTGGTGCCATCTTGGAAGGGTCGTCCAGGAAGAGGAGGAGGAGGAGGAGGAGGAGGAGGAGGAGGAGGAGGAGGAGGAGGAGGTGGTGTTGGGAGAAAAGGACTAGGAGGGGTCAGGGAAGATAGAGGCAGAGGGGACAGGGCATCATACAGGAAGGAAAGCCTGGGCAGACGTGACATTCCGTACTGTGCTCAGGCTGTTTCAGCTGGTTCAGTTCAGCAAGTATCAGATGGGAGGTGGGGCATGGGGACAGGAAGGTGGGGACAAGGCCCCACAATCCAGTGGGCCTTGCGAGGAGATCTTTGAACTGTTCCTCTGGGAGTAGGAAGCTACTGAAAGTCAAAAAAAGTGCTTTCTTACTTTTTCCTGGGAATCTTGTAGCTGATGGCTTTATTCGCAGCAGCCTGTAATCTGTCCTAATTGCTAGGTGGAGGACAGTTTAGCATTGTGTTAAATTGCATTTCCTTGACTACTGGTGCAGTTAAACATTTTTCATGGATTTTATTAAGCTATTTGTATATTCATGCCCTTTGCTCATTTTTTTGGCTGGCATTCTAGTATGTTTATTGTCGATTTATAGAGCTCTTTATATGTGAAAGATAACAACCCTTTGAAATATTTATTGTGTATATTTTACCCAGACTTGTCAGTTGCCTTTTAGTTTTGTTTAGAATGGTTTCTGTCATCCAGAAGTTTTAAATTTGGTGTAGTCAAATGTATTGATTTTCTTTCCCTTAGTGATTTCTTCCATTGCTTTTATGCTTAGAAAATCCTTTCTTATCCAGAGATCAAATAAGTATCATTGAAAGGTTTGAAGCAGTGGAGTGCCATGGTTGGATGATTAATGGTGATATTCATGGATTAGGTGTAGTGGCAGGAAAATAACAATGACAACAGGAGAGAAGAAGCCACGTTGTCATTTATCTAGCCCAAGCCCAGCTTGAGGTTACTAGTAGAAGCAGTTAGGGACCAAAGTGCCAAACAAAGCAGAAGAGATCTAGAGAGGGTCTTGAGAGCCCAGCAGGAGGTGGTTGGATAGACAGAACGGGAAGGAGCTGGGTATGAAGTCACATGTCCCCAGGTCAGGAAATAATGTCTAAGTGCTGGGAATACTGGGCAGAGAAAAAAAAAAAATCAGAAACATGATTTTTGTCCTTATGAGATTATGATCTAGCAGAGGAAGCTGGACATTAAGCAAGTGGCTCCTTTTATTAAACGTGAAACTAAAAGTTTAAAAGTAGTTTAAGAAGAGAGGTTGATTTACTTATTTGGTACTGGGGATTGACCCCAGGGCCTTTGTACTGAACTACACTGCAAGCCCTCTTTTTTTTTTTTTTTTTTTTTCTAATAGCAGGAATCTAACTCAGGACTTCATGTTTATTGATCAGGCACTATGTCACTAAGCTAAGTCCCTGGCCCCCTTTTTTATTTTTTGAGATAGAGTCTCACTAAGTCATTAAGCCGGTGGGGGTGGAGAGGGTTGGAGGTAGACACACTCAGATTTGCATTTTGAAAGGCTCCTTCTGGTTTCTATGTTGCTACGGTGACATGACATATGTTGCTGAATGTTGGTGCCCTCACCCCCGACTTATAAATAGAAAGCTACTCCATAACATGGTAGTATTAAGGGGCAAGTGCAAGAAGTGCAAGGGCCTGAGTTCAATCCCCAGTTCTGAAAAAAAAAAAAAAATTCCCAACATTATAGGGCTGGGGAGATGGCTCAGTGGAATAAGTGCTTCCCTGGCAAATGCAAGGGCCTGAGTTCAATCCCTGGTTCCAGAAAAAAAAAAAAAAAAAAAGCAGGGCTTTCAGGGATGTTTAGGTAACAAAGGCTCCACCCTCATGAAGGCATTAGTGCCCTTGAAAAAGTCTTTATTTTATTCTTTTGTAAAATAGTCTTGAGTGCTCTTGTAAAACAGCCTTTCACCCTTTAGCCATGTGAAATCACAGAGGGAAGGGGAACGGGCTCTCTCCAGATACCAAACCTTGGACTTCCTAGCCTCCAGAACCTTGGGGAATAAATTTGTTTTGTTAATAAACCACCCAGTCTAAGGCGTTTTGTTATAGCAGCCCAAATATGCTAAAACAGGTGGAGAACCAATCAGAGGGTGCAGGGGAGGTAGGGGAGACCTGGTGTTGCAGAGGTCTAGCAAGCAATGCTGATAGCTTGACTTAGGCAGGTGCAGGAAGGTGATTAGGGGAGTGGATACCTTGAGACGTATTTAGGAAGGAAACTGAGTAGGACTTGAGTCAATTAGATAAAGATGCAAGACAATAGTGGTCAAGACAGACTCCCAGGTTTTAGGTTTGCATACTGTCTGAGTCACTTTCCCCTCACTGGGCCAAAATACCCACCATTCACAACTTAAAAGGATGAGAGGTTTATTTTGGCTTTTTTTTTTTTTTTTTTTTTTTTTTTTTTTTTTTTTTTTTTTTTTTTTTTTTTTTTTTTTTTTTGGTGATACCGGGGATTGAACTCAGGACCTTGCACTTGCCAGGCAAGCGCTTATTCTACTGAGCTATCTCCCCAGCCTGATTTTGGCTATTTTACTTTGGTTTCTGTCCATGGTTGGCAGGTTGCAAGGTGGAAAAAGAATGGTAGGAGAGCCTTGGGAGGAAAAGGCACCCGAGCCATGGCGGCCAGGAGACAGAAGGGAGGAGGCAGAGACAAGATCACACCCTTCGGGGTTCCACCCCCAGTCCCCACCTCCTAAGAGCACAGTCAGCTCCTCAGCTCATCAATGGATGAATGCACTGGTAAGCACAGAGCCCCTGTGATCCATTCACTTTCCACTTTCCGGGGTACGTTTTAGGTCTAAGCCATAACACATACCTACGTGGGGATGACATTTCGGTGATAGGGATGCCTGGTGGAAGAAACATCAGAAGACCATCAAGTTCAGGCAAGAGGTTAATAGCATCTACGTTGGACTTGGTAAATTTGAAGTACATCTGACTGGAGTTAGATATAAAGGGTAAATCTCGGAAAGACTGGGTTAAAGCCTCTGTCTGGTCCGTTCTTATTAATGTCACATTATTATTAATGTTATGGTCATGGATGTAATGCTAGGACAAGATTATGGAATGAAAAGAGAGCCATAAGGAACTCCAACAGTGAACATAGTCTTGGACCAATTCAAGGCTCTAGAGTTATTTTGACGGTTGAATGAAATACTGTATGCACAGTATCAGTATAATACAGAGTCAGAAACTCAAATCTAATTCTTCCAACTTCACCTGTCCCCCAGGGTACCTAGCTGCTTATTCTCACTGCTTATACCCTGCTCTCCTCCAAGACCCAGCTTTGGGGAGCCAACCTTTTGACAGCTATTTGAAACTGAACTCCAGAGACTTTAGACCTTTGCGATTAATGCTCAGTGTGCCAAATTCCAGATCACAGAGCTACCTCTGCTGGATGATCTCACCTTAGAATGATAGTCATGCCACCTTGCA